TCAAGCTCTCTAGAAGGTGTAATAACTGTAAGTGTTTGAGTTTCAAGCTGTCTTCTAGAAGGTGTAATAACTGTAACTGTTTGAGTTTCAAGCTCTCTAGAAGGTGTAATAACTGTAAGTGTTTGAGTTTCAAGCTGTCTTCTCAAAGGTGTGTTAACTGGAACTGTTTGAGTTTCAAGCTCTCTAGAAGGTGTAATAACTGTAAGTGTTTGAGTTTCAAGCTGTCTTCTAGAAGGTGTAATAACTGTAACTGTTTGAGTTTTCAAGCTCTCTAGAAGGTGTAATAACTGTAAGTGTTTGAGTTTCAAGCTGTCTTCTAGAAGGTGTAATAACTGTAAGTGTTTGAGTTTCAAGCTGTCTTCTAGAAGGTGTAATAACTGTAACTGTTTGAGTTTCAAGCTGTCTTTTAGAATGTGCGATATGAAAGCAAGCAAGTAACATTAGTAAGTTATCTCATTCAGTCAGTTCGTACTTCATCTTAGAGATGGTAAATTTCATACGATTCCCCAGAGGTTTTATGTAGGTGAAGCTTTACATTAATTTGTGTTAGTAATTCATTGAATAACACTTTTAATAGAATTATAGTTAGGCCTTAAATTGTGCAGTTATCATTTATTACAGATAAGGGTTAAAGTGATCTCTTCTTTTGTTTGCTAAAAACATTATACTTTTCATTTTATCAGGAAAACTTTAATGCATTGATTATTTTAGTACTGTATTAAATTAGTTTGAAACACCATTAGAGCCACTTCTTGTGAAGTAGTGTACACGTTTAATCGTTACGCATACATTGATAGTAGTTTTCCAAGTCACGCTAGAAGTAATGCATAGGTATAAAAATTAGATGACATCAATGTTCTGATGTACACAGTAAGTTGTATAAAATTAAAAGCTAAAAAAAACTACATGTTTGGAGGAACATTCTCCACCATCTTCAGGAGATCAAGAAGATGTAGTTTATGATCAAGTTTATATATGGTATAAATGTACGAGAGTCACCGTTTACAAAATTGACTTACACAAATTTACTTCCATGGCAGCATGATTCACCACCTGGCTATGTATGATGATGTAATATACATGATTATATAAGTATGATGATATATAATACACATGATCTACTACATGGTTATGTATGATGAAGTAATATACATGATTATATAAGTATGATGATATATAATACACACGATTCACTACATGGTTATATATGATGATATATAATACACATGATCTACTACATGGTTATGTATGATGATATATAATACACATGATTCACTACATGGTTATATATGATGATATATAATACACATGATCCACTACATGGTTATGTATGATGATATATAATACACATGATCCACTACATGGTTATGTATGATGATATATAATACACATGATCTACTACATGGTTATGTATGATGATATATAATACACATGATCCACTACATGGTT